AATCCTTGATTATATGACCTGCCTTATTTAAGTTTAGATCTAAGGTTTAATAATAAGAATTTTCCATGTCAACCTGACCGGCATTTTTGGGTTTAGGGTTTAGAGATTAATTTGGAAGGATCACTTCCGTATCTTTTCCTTGGAAATTGCATATTATTAAAAAATATATTATTATCAGAAATCGAGTCAGCAATTAATAAAAAAATCATGAATAGATGGGAATGATCCAGCTCGTCCTGTATTGTTCGTCTTTGAAACGAACATGTACGTCTTTTACAAGACGTACACAATATAGATTTTCACGTACGTTCTTAGTACGTACTTTTTTGTCTGTATATCAATACAGCCTTTTACGTACGTACTCAAAACGTATTTTTACATCCCCGACGAACCGACATAAAACGGACCTAAAATGTACGTCTTCAGTACGTACTGTGTTTGTTGGGGACAGGATCAAAAGTTGTATTTTTACTGCCTAGGCAGTAAAAGTGGACTTTTACTGCCTAGGCATTAAAAGTGACAGTGTCACAACGTTCCAGGTAATAATTTCACTCAATTTGGTATTTGAAATTGATGGTGACAGTGACAATTGTCAAAATAATTTAATTATTAGGATAATAATAATGGATGAAATTAATATAAAAAAGATGTCCATGTGTGAATTTGAACATTCGGAGAAAAAATTATATGTTTTACATGGCAGAAAAGCAGATTTAATGCCTCGGCTGGTTTCCTAGCCTCGGCTATGCTTCGGCTATGAAACACCAGCCGCGGCATTAAATCTTGTACTTTTCTGCCCAGTGAAACAAATAACTATTTTTGTACGCTCACGGCCGGACAAAAAAGTGACGTCACAAAAATTTCCTAGATTTCATTGCTTTGAACACCATTTGCGGAAAAAAATCGTATGTTTTATTCGGAGAAAAGCACTTTTTGTGGCTCGTCTAAAATTGTCGGCCTTACTACGTTCGGCATTTAGTCTCGCTACAAAAATTATCACTTTTACTCCTAATAAAACAATATACTATTATGTGAAGATACAATTTTTTTTGCTCTACGTCTATGACTTTGTGTAACTTTAGGTAATAAATCACAAATTATTCCATAGGTACCTAACAAGATGTTATTATGTATCGAACCCCTCATAAAACAATTTACCGGGGACCGAATTTACCTATGCAGTATCAGGTAAAAACAAAGTTAGGGGCCGAATTTACTCGTTATTTTTGGACTAATATTTCTTGGGACCGAATTTACCTATAGCCGAATAAACATTCATTTAACTCACTTGAAATATAAATAACTATTAATTTGCCTATTCTTCCATATTGACACTTTTTGCTCATAGCAAATAATTTTTCTCATTTATCTCCATGTCCATATCGTAGTTTTTAAACAGCACCTCATAATGAAATAATGAAATTATTTTTCTCAATGTTGGTAAATTAACTCACAATCATGTTTCATATAAGCTGGTCGCCAGGTTGTCAAGAAAACGGCATCGCACAGAAATCGAAACATTGAAAATGTAAATTTGATAATGCGCTAGCACTGCCAAAATCTCAAGAGAAGAAAACAAACATACCAGGAGTTTTTTTTTTTAATTAATCATATGCAGTGTTTCAGCAATCTTTATATTTGTTGGATAACAGTGAACAGTGTTTAGTTCACCTAGTATAAAAAGACTGGATATTATGCAATGAGGCAAAAAATCACATCTGGTAATGTTTTCTTGACAGTGTGGCAAGTTGAAACTGTTCGTATTTTTCGACAATTTCGCCCATGATTTCTTCAATAAAAAATAGGGGGAGTCCTTTGTATTGATATTATAATAATTGTTAAAATTGAGGCATACATCTTTTTTCACTCCTATTTCCGAAAATTTGAAGTTTAATAAGCAAATAGTCGTTAGTTTTGGTTTCACACAACGGTTTCCTAAATTGGTTTCTCAATTCAATTTGATTATGATTCGGTTAAATTCTGCCTTTGATTTGGTACTTTACTAATTGCAGATTGTTTGCGGCTGATGAAGTATCGAACAATATTATTTTATTAATTATTATAACACCTCTATTCGCCGTTATCCAAGATATAGCAATATTGATTTAAAGGGAGATTTATTTTCTGTTTCACTTCGTCATTTCATCTAGAAAATTGAAAAATACAGGTTTGTAGAAAGGAACAAATTAAATGGATTACAATGTATGATGCGCTATAAAACGGAGTCGGTCACCTATGGTAAACTCACTGATAAATTAGGCGTCAGTGGGCCAAAAATCAGGTTGCGAAATAAAGGTGAATCGGATCATGAGTGAAACGCGACTTGATAATAAGACAGTGAGTTGTGATTAAGTTTTGCGATGATTGTAGAATATCTTGAATAAGGGCAGATAAATTAATCCTGAAAGTGTAGTAAAATTATCATGATCGGCAAAGTTGTTTTAATTATTGAGATCTTTGATTCCATTATTGATCCTCCCACTAAACATGTAATGTTGCAAAATTTGTCAGCAATATTGTATCGACCTTACTTTAGAAAATGTATTACGTAATGTGACGTTAAGCTTTCTAAAATATTACTTATCCAATGTAAAGGGATATAAATTTAATATAACTTCAATAGAGAAACATTCGTTTTAGTTATCAAGTAAATGTTGCAGTAGATACAATAATGTATTACATTTGAAACATTATAAAATGTAAGTAAAGCAAATATTATAACAATGGTATGAAATGTAACTTTTCTCAACTCTATCGCTTTAAAGTTGCGGAAATATTTACGTTTGTAACATTGAAAATATATAATAAAATAAATGGTTGCATAAATATTATAAGCTTAACTTTTCTTAAAACTGTCGCTGTAATGTTGTAGATACCTTTACATGCGTACGTTAACAGTTTCAAGAATAAAAAACGTTACCTAAATATTTCAATATAAACTTTGGAATAGGAAACATAAATTTTCTCAATGTTGCATAAAGCTTGCAGATAGATTTTATTTGCAATATGCTGTCTTTGTCTCTTTCATGCAAAAATATATTTGACTGACAAAAACGGGACAATTATTTGGGAATTCGGAATAGCGCAGACGCACCACCCATTTGTTGTTGTCTGTTGACCTGTTGACGCCACGCCACCAAAAGCCAGGACGCTAGGACGAAGGACGCAGACGACCTTTCTTTTTTCTTGGCTTGATAAATAATACGAGAGAATTGAACAGGACGAAAGGGTTCATCAAGATCTTGAGATGTTGGGAGAGGAAGAGAATAAAGCCAATGTTGTAAGATTTTAACATTTCAATTTTTTGTGATATTTTAATACTGTTTAATTTTTAATTTTAGGTGGCTTTTTTAAAATACCTATGTTGGAGGAATCGAGGCATGTGTGATAAGATCATTTGGAAATTGGAAGTTTATTAACTAACCATTGTGCCGGGTCTGTAGTTGGTCTGGCAGAAAAGGGAATTTGAAAATAAAGGATCTTGCATTAATGCAAATCCTTACGATATATTAAATATCTATCATATATATAATATTTCATTATGTAAATTTCTGTAAATTACCAATAAAAATATTGCAACTGTAATATTTATCTAAGTTTATAAACAACGTTAAATGCAGGTTTCTGTAAGCTAGCATTTTCAATGTTAGAAACGTAATTTATTTTTTATGAAAATACAAGTTTGAGGCGATATTGCAGAAAAGTTTATTCTATAAACATTGCATTTGTGAATATTAGAATAAGTCCGTTTTAGTAATTGCAGCAACCTTGCACTTATATAGCAGCAATAAAAAATGAAATATTACAATATTATCTAGAAACATTACTAAAATATTAAAGCGATATTACATTGCTTAGTGGGCTGTATCTTGTCTTTCTCCTAAAATTTAAAAAAAAAAACATATTATTATCTACATTTTCGAATAAACTCTGATAGCTACTTGCCTGACTCTAGTATTATATTAAGTATAGTTTTACTAACATTTTGAAATATTCCAATTCGTTTTATTTGTGAAATATCCTGTTACCTTAATTTGAAAAGTCGTCATCAGTTACTCATTATTTATTTAGTGGCTTAATTATTTTTCAAGTCTAAACCTTTGGGTTAGGTAAATTTGAAATGTTTTTACCGAAGTGTAGTCTACATCCCTGTAAAAAACAATTGATATACCTACTTAGTTTACACACATAAACTTCAATATATCTTCCGTCGATTTTAATTTGATACTCGGACGAAATATGAGCTGGTGGTTCGCTACATTAGAACGCCAATAGTTACCTGACGTCACACCTGTTTTTGCCATATGAAACACCTCCTCGCTCCTCATACGAAAAGTGTCAGTTAAAAATCGACGAACAATAGGTACTTAATTTAAATTTTGAACCTCTTTTAGTTTTGAAAGATATTGTTTGAGATTTAGGAAGATTTACTTACCTGATACAGGGATGTTTTGGAAGGTTTACGAGAAATTTCAGAATTCTGTAATAATGCAACATTGAATTACTGAGAAATGCAAAATCTGTGATCCCATAGGTATATAGGTACGAAAGAAAAATACCCTTTTTTCCTCAAAATAACTTTGGAAAAGTTACAAAAGAAAAAAATTACAGAAAAAGTTAATTATTCTACTGATTTGGTTAACCATGGGTTAACAGCCTAATAATAACCGTTAAGTTATAAAACTGTTGAACATTTTTGAATTCACACGATATTATTGAGTTTACTTTACATTTTCAAAGGCTCATTGGAAATTATCAGTGTCAATTTTTTGATAGTAGCGATAAAAATATTCTTTGGTATGGTGACCTTTTTTATTCTTAAAAGGCAGACAAATTCATACAACTGATTATAATAATTTTGGTCTAAACTCTTTAGAGTGTAAAGTTCATCACAAATCGATTAATAAATAACATTAAACCCAAAAATGATTATTTTTAACCCATGCCTTGTTATCTACATTTTTATTTAGTCAGTCAATTTGAAGATATTTCAACGTACCTACACATGAACTTTTGGGTGCTTCGCGTCTATTTTTAAATGAAATATACAAGAATAATAGTGATATCTGTCTTAAGTAAGTGAATAGGTTATTTATTTACAGATTTTGATTTTGTTTGGCATGATCATTCTAATAAATTTGTGTTTTTCGTTTCGCCTCTTGAAGTGTAGTGCCTTTAGGTTGGATTGTAAATTGGGGAATGAGTTAACAATGAATTATATCATTGAAAAAAATCCTATATAGCTTCTAAAGCAAAGGATTTGTCAGCTGCCAATTTAGATCCTAAAGCAAGAAAAGACGCATCCAGATTTGCCTTGCTAATTGTATTCAAAATAACTAATATTATTAATAAACCAAAGATAAACAATAGTTAACACTTATCTTTTGGAATTTATTTTAGGTACACTATCATGTATCTCGGACGGCATGCATTATGCTTGGACAGCTCCAGTTATTCCCAAACTTATATCAAAGGATAGTCTATTACCGACAACAGAGGGCCAAGCAGAATGGCTCGAAACAATTCTAATGTTGGGAGGATGCTGTGGAATACCGCTCAATTTATTTCTAGTTGATTATATTGGTCGAAAGGGTACCCTAGTGATATCTTCGATGACAAGCCTGATTTCTTGGTTTATCATAGCCATAGCACCCAGCATACAGTATATTTATGTAGCTAGATTTTTTGCTGGTATTGCTGGAGATACTGGATTCGTTGCTGCGCCGATGTATATAGCTGAAATAGCTGATCATAAGATCCGAGGATTTTTATCTAGCATAATATATCTGATGATGCTCTTGGGAATTGTGATTGTTTATGGTGTAGCACCTTTTGTACCCATATGGGTGCCCTGTTTAATAGGTGAGTTTACTTTCAATTTAATCTGTACCTATATCTCTGTTTGGTCAAATATTTTTTAATGTAAATAATTCCATGTCAAAACGAAATGATGACAATAGAATAATAATAGTCCAAGAGCCGGCAATACTAACGGGTATGTGATCGTTGCAATGAATAATTTCTACATAAAACAATAGTTCATAGTATCCTTTAAACCAAATGGATGGGTGGCCTCGATTCTCATGGCCGTAAAGTTGTTTTCACTTCAAAAGATACTTCAAGAACCATAAGCGCAACAAATAAGAAGTACCTACCTTGCGATGTAGGGGTTCTCATCATATGCGGAAACACTTCATTAACAAAATTTCATGTTTCTTTTTTTGTCTAAAGACCTACAGCCGTATGCAAAATCCTCTTTTAACTTTGAAAATATACAAAAATTTGTATTTAGCAAGCAAAATAACGCGTGCACTCGAGTTTCAATGAAGGTTGCCATCATTTCCGGCCATCAAAATCGAGGCCACCCTATATATTATTTGAGAAGACATATTAAAGAATATATCTAACAATTTTTAGCTATTGCAACGATAACATGGTTCCTTCGGAAAAAGAGGAGTAGTTTACGCCCAGCCATCAAAGGGTTGCGGCCATGAGAATCGAGGCCACCCATCCATTTAGTTTAAAGGTAACTATGAGCTATTCCTTTATGTGAAAATTATTCATTGCAACGATCACATACCCGTTAATATTGCCGGCTCTCCTACTATAACTTTCTATTATGAACTGTTTGTATTTAATACATTTTGGAGTTAAGTGATTGGTTCAGCCTTCCCGGTTCAGCCAAATACCTACCAAACTATAAACAACGTTCATAAAAAGCGTTCCTTTTTGGATGCTTAATTATACTTTCAAAATGTAAACAACAACAAAAAAATGTGTTGGTAAAATTAAAAAAAAAAAAAACTAAATTTCATTTGAACAAATCTAACATGTAATTTTCTGGTTTTCCACCAAATTTGAGCACATTGAATGGTGCGGAAATGTACTACCTACGTTTCGCACGGAGAAACATGCAGAAATCTGCCCTTTCCCGCACACTCATAGACAAAACGTTTCACAGTTTAGCTGTCCATAATTTTCCAAGGCAATACCTAACAGATATAAATTAATTTCCGTGATTATGTTTTGACTTGATAAGTACCTACCGGTTTACAAACGACCAGGAAATACATTCAATTTACACTCAATGAAAATAATGAAAATCAGATGATAACCTTGTTCATCAACAAATTGTTTAAGAAATAAATATAATATTTTAATGTTTTTAGTGGCGCCGACGAAATTGGTTCAATTATTATCGCTGTAAATTATGTTAGCACAGACTACGGCGCGCCGCAAAACGTTTCAATGCATTTGAACAAGTTGAAGAATAATTAGTGGTCAATTTTATTGACTATTTAATCTAACGGTAATGCTAAGTTGGCCTAATCAATCGTCCATCTGATTTATTGGCCTCTTGTAATACTTTCTGGATCCTGGGGTCTCTTCTGCAAGGTCTTACTGGACCATTCAATCCTTTCAAAGTTTTTCAAGTTTTCTTCTGTTTCTCTCCGCATTACACGTCTATGTGATTCCCATTGCAAGTATATTTCTTACGTTTTACTGCCATACGTACCAAGGTGCATCCGACTAGGTATTCGCTGGATGTTTTCCACAGCTTCAAGATGTTTCTGTTATGTCTTGACTATGTGTCCGAACAGTTGAACCAGAATTCTTGTATTCCAGATACTCTTCTGATTCATCGACGAATGAAACCAACCTGTACCTTATTTCGGCCCATTACAATGTCATATTTCCAGCTTCACTTCCATAGCCAGTCCTAAGTACTTGACATCCCTAGACCATTGAATTTGTTATCCTTCGATGTTGGTTGGAGGCTGATGGAACAATAGCTCTGCTTAGCATGATGACTCCAGTATAATTCCGGCAACGCCCATTCTCAGGGTGGTAATGTTGTTGAGGGGCATCACTGCTTTTTTTGTAATATATTCGATCATCGATGGTTGAGACACCAGTATTTAATAGGTGTCAGCCAGTTCTTTTTATGTGGATTTCCTGAGGAATGACGTAATTTCTACCTACGTGTACCTATTTTCCGTAATTTTTAATAAAGTATAAAATAAAAATCGCGATTATTTGAGAGCTTAGTTTATTTTATTGGAACACGATTGAATGCTTCCAAAGTTGAAAACCGACTGTTCGATGTTACAAAGCGACTTCCTCAATTGTAATTTCAAGAATTAAAGTAACCTAAGGGTAATTCTCACCATCCGGATAATAAAATAAGATCTGCAAAATTATACTCTGTCTTTGTCGGCAAGAATACCCTCTATGGGTTATATTTATTTATATTTACAATAATTGGGGTTGCTGCAACTGAACTACCGACAAATGGAAACATTTGGTGTGAACAGGACATTAGTTGTACAGGGTACAGATAAACTGACACATTTTGCAGGTAAATATCTCTAACACGAGAAAAGATAACGAGATGCGGTTTGTTGTGTTTGATGAAAAAATCCTATACACAATAAATCCCGAAAGTTTGAAATCCCTCTGATTGCTTGAATTATTAATTTTTCAGGAGCTTCCAAAGGTGATTAATAGCAATTTTTACATGATTTTTTTGCTCCTGAGTGAGAAAAAATTCCCGATTCCAATTCTGAATCTGAGATTTACTCTAGGTTTGTTTTGTTCCATAAAAAGATCCTACTCAATAAATCCTGAAAGTTTGAAGTCCCTCTGATTGCAAGAAGTATTTTTCAGAAGCTTCCAAATCTGATTTAATAGAAAGTTTTGCATAAGTTTTTTGCACCTAAGTGAGATAATATTCATAATTCCATTTCTGAGCCTGAGAGCCATTTGCGGTTTGTTCTGTTTAATAAAAAGACCCTACTCAATAAATTCAGAAAGTTCCAAATCTCTCTGATTGCTTGAAGTATTTTTAAGTAGCTTCCAAAAGTGATTTAATAGCAATTTTTACATGATTTCTTTACACCTAAGTGAAAAAAAATTCATAATTCCAATTCTGAGTCTGAGATTTACTCGCGGTTTGTTTCGTTCCATAAAAAGACCCTACTCAATAAATCCCTCGATAAATCCTGAAAGTTTGAAGTCCTTCTGAGAGCTTGAAGTATTTTTCAGAAGCTTCCAAAGCTGATTTGATAGAAACTTTTACATGATTTTTTTGTATCTAAGTGAGAAAAAAATCATAATTCCATTTCTGAGACTGAGATCCATTCGCGGTTTGTTTTGCTTGATAAAAAGGCTCTGCTCAATAAATCCTAAAAGTTTGAAGTCTCTCTGGTTGCTTGAACTATTTTTCTTTTTTTTTTTTGACCAGTTGATGGTACCGTCTTCAACAAAGTACATTATTTACGATGAAAATTCAAGATAATTTTAAAAAATTATACATTTCTATAAAGTAGAGATATCAGGCTTTCTGACCATGATGAAATTATATAGTTTCATTGAAAATAAGGCAGTAATTTTTTGTCAAACGTGGTCGTTCAAGCGAGATTTATTCTAGTTTTCTATTCCATCTTCTGGCTATCTTTTCTTTAAGTCCATTTAGTTATAATTTTGTTCTAGCTAGTCAGTAGCTTCGGATTGCTTTGACGTCTAACAACATCAGGCCTATCATTCATGGTCCTTTAGTTCATCTTCGATCGTGACGGATGACCGCATAAATTGCTTCCTCTGCCGGCAGCTGTTAGGTAAAATAGGACCTCATCTTAGAGTTTAGTGTTTCATCCCAACACTGTTGAGTGATCGATGATTTTCTCCAAGTCTCTGAATGACTATAATTTCCTGCCTGTCTCTATTGGTCACAACGGCTTCAGTTTTTTTTCGTCCTGTGTTGAGAGGTGTTGATTGTCTGTGTCGATACCCACTCATCGCTGAAGTTCTCTCTCCCCATATATTCTTAGACTTCCACGCACGCAACATAAAGACAGAACATACCATTGTTTTGTCCCAAAACCGTCGAGCTACACCGTGGTATGCTTTGTTTTGAGATTGAGCTCCACACCTGTAGACAATTCATACCACGTTACAACCAAAACGTACGCACAGTCAGCTTCTGATTTGCAGTAGCACACCTGAAGTTTCCTACCTGTGTCGAGAAAAGGTTATTCACATGTATTGTGTTGTGTTAAAGGTCGAATGGGTGTTCCAATAAAAAAAAAAAAACATTAAGGAAATTGAAAACGTTCTATATCCTTGAAGAGCACAATTTTCCGATTTCAAAAATTATATATTTTTGGAATCGGAAAATTGTGCTCTTCAAAATAATAGAATCAAATATAAGGCATTTCTATTAGAAAAAGTTGAAGATATGCATAATATCAAATTTCTGAAAATAATTTTTTATTATTGAAGATGGATTCTAAAAAATTTAGCTAAAACTGCACAATTTTTGTATTTACATCTATCATCTCTGTAAAGTAAAGGCAGCAAGCACCCTTTACTTACTCTATATCCTGGATGATTTTTTATTTTTGTTAATTCAAAGTCTTTCATTTTTCTGATTCGACTTTTCCCTGTGTATTTTATTTCTTTATAAACGTCTTCAGTTCTGCGAAAATTGTTTTTTCATGTTAGTATCTTATTACCTTGCATTTTTTGGGACTTTACACCTCAATTGAAATTGTTACCAGAAGTTTCTTGATCTTGGTAACAATTTCAATTGACGTGTAAGTCCCAAAAAATGCAAGGTAGTAATATAAATCCACCTCAAACATACAGACATTTATTATGTTAGTATCTACCTAAATATCGTCTTAATATTTCCTCAACATCAACAGACAGAAGGTACAGTCAGCCAATAAAGAAATGTCCCAAAATTAAAAATGTATTTACCTGTAGGAAAAAACTGTTAACTGTAACTAAAAAAAAAGAGCTAAAGGACCCTGCACACCTCTTATGGGTTTTTGGTTTTCTGTCAAACTCAATGAAATTTTGATATGTGGTATATCTTGACTGCCTGATGAAAAGTTCTCATAGGCCCAATCCGATATTATGAATAGTTTTCGAAATACAGGTTATTTAATGTTCAAGAAATATACACATTCAATATGCATTTACATCTACCTGTCAACTGAGCGCGTGGTGAGCTGTTAATCCTGGTATATTATTAGATGACAGGTAGATGAAGACAAGATGACTATTGAATATTATGTAGGTACATGGTGTTTTTTTATATATTGACACCCCATCTACAGCCTTTACCTTTACAGGTAGATGAAAGGTGTAAATACAAAAGTTGCACAGTATTGGCTAAATTTTTAGAATCCATAGTCAGAAACAAAAATTGAATATCAGAAATGTGAAATATTGCATACTTTCAGTTTTATTCAGCTGGGATGCGCAATATTTGGTTCTATATTCTGGAATAGCACAATTTCCAGATTCCAAAACTATATAGTTTGTCTATATTTGGTTGAACCGTCTCCAACATATTTGGTTCTAAAAGTTTTAAAAATACTATCAGAGAAACCAAGTAGGTACCTCAAATTTTACCTGCAGCTTTCACCTATACAGATAGAATGGTTCACAAAATCAGTAGTAGAATAGTATTTTTATAATTTTTGGAGCCGAATATAAGAGATTGCTCAATCAAATATAGATCGGGGCATTGTGCTTTTCAAAAATATACAGTGTGATTTTTTAAGTGTGCAACATATGGGGATTTTTTTTAGTAATATCACAACCCGAATACAAACAAGGCCAAAAGTTGGTGCATGTCTGATAATCATATTAAGTGCACTTAGAATGGTTGCAAGTCAAACAGCATACAGGGTAGCTCAAACAATATCAAAGCTGTACTGTAAAGTACCCTTATTTTAGAAAATTCAGCAAAATGTTATAGAGAAAAGTTGTTTGGAATTAAAAGTTATGCCCAAATACCAAAACATAGCCTCCTAAGATTTTTTTTTAATTTCATTTGAAAAAAATTTATAATTTCTATATTTTTTTTATTTTTTATTTTCGCCCTTAAGACATTCAAAAATTAATTAAAATCAAATCAATTTTACATAACTTTGTTCAAATTCAAGCATATTTGTAAAATTAACTTAGATTTTTAATTTTTTATGGAATCACAAAATTCATGTTTGTTGCAATGATATTCAACACAACTTTAAAATGTCGCAATTTTTTTTTAACAAGTTAAAACATTACTAATGATAATAGCCATATTCAGAAAAAATCTCCTTAAAGTGCAAAAATTTTATCTTATTTAAGTTAATATTACTACAATTTTGATATTTTTTGAGCTACCCTGTATGCTGGTTGACTTGCAACCATTCTTAAGTGCACCTAATATGATTGTCAGACATGCACCAACTTTTGGCCTTGTTTGTATTTTGATTGTGCTATTATAAAAAAAAAATCCCATATGTTGCACACTTAAGTAATGACACTGTAATAGGGCATCCCATTTGAAAAAAGCTGGAAGCATGCAAAATTTCACATTTCTGACATTCAAATTTTGTTTCTGACCATGGTGTCTAAAAATTCAGCCAAAACTGTACATACAACTTTTATATTTACACCTTTCTTCTACCTGTAAAGGTGAAGGCTGTAGGTGGGGTGTCAATATATAAAAAAACACCCTGTACAAATAAGTGGATTATTGCGGAACTTTTGGGGGGCCATCTGTTGGGAAACGGACTAAGAAATAAAAGAACTTGTTAATTATCGATATTCAATATATTTATTATATCGAAGACAGCGTGGAAAGCAGAGCGTGTGAACTCATAGAAATAACTATACGAACTGACTCAACATCAAGACAAAGAATTACAAACCCTTTCTTAAGTAAACGATTCCTCATCTGTTTACCTATCATATAAAAACTATTATAAACACATTCAGTCATCCATAGCTGCGATATAAATTAGCAAAGTATAGGCTAATAATCAAAGTTTAATTTATTAATTTTTGTTTCATTGATATGAATATCAGTTTATCCAACACCATCTACTCACTAATATTCTGTCGAACTGTTCAAATAAGACACTCACCTGAAACGTGTAGTTTCTGAACTAATGAGAAAATTTCCCAACTGGGTGAATCAGGTTAGTATTGTACTTGAACAACATATTGGTGAATAGATGGCTGGGTCCACCCATAAGTTCCGCAACAATCCACTCGTTTGTACTTGAATAACTTGTCACAATATATTACTAGTTCGGTAGAGTAACATTACTAATTCCTGTTGAAAGGGGATTTGACAAAAAGTGGATAATTTTCCAAATTCTGACTTTGTATAATAAGTTATTTTTCAAGTACAAATAACTGGATTGTTGCGGAATTTATGGGTGGACCTCTGCGGAACGAGCGCAGCGAGTTCTGCAGCCATCTACTCACCAATATACTGTTCAACTGTTCAAGTAAGACATTCACCTGAAACGTGTAGTTTCTAAACTAATGAGAATAACTGACATTTGAGTGAGTCAGGTTAGTCTCGTACTTGAACAACGTATTAATGAATAGATGACTGCGGATGACGTTGATTCCTGTTAAAAGGCAAATTGACAAAAAGTGGATAATCTTACAAATTATGATTTTATATAATAAGTTATTGTTCAAGTACAGGGTGTTTTTTATATTTTGACACTCCACCTACAGCCTTCACCTTTACAAGTAGATGAAAGGTGTAAATACAAAAGTTGTACAGTATTGGCTAGATTTTTTGAATCCATGGTCAGAAACAGAAATTGAATGTCAGAAATGTGAAATGTTGCACGCTTTCAGCTTTTTTCAAATGGGATACCCCATTATATTTGGTTCTATATTCTTGAAGAGCACAATTTCCCGATTCCAAAACTATATAGTTTGTCTATATTTAGTTGAGCCGTCTCCAACATATTTGGTTCTAAAAATTTTAAAAATACTATCAGAGAAACCAAGTACCTCAAATTTTACCTGCAGCTTTTACCTATACAGGTAGAATCGTTCACAAAATCAGTAGTAGGATAGTATTTTTACAATTTTTGGAGCCGAATATATGAGAGACTGTTCAATCAAATATAGACAAACTATATATTTTTGGAATCGGGGCATTCTCTGCTCTCCAAGAATATAGAATGAAATATAGGGTATCCCTTTTGAAAAAAGCTGGAAGCATGCAAAATTTCACATTTCTGACATTCAAATTTTGTTCCTGACCATGGTTTCTAAAAATTCAGCCAAATCTGTACAACTTTTATATTTACACCTTTCTTCTTCCTGTAAAGGTGAAGGCTGTAGGTAGGGTGTCAATATATAAAAAAACACCCTATACAAAATATCGTTTTAAATGTGGAAGACATTTGATCTTGTAGGTAGTTTAATGTTCAAGAAACGTGCACATTTTTACATGCATTTACATCTACCTGTCAACTGAGCGGATGGATACCTGGTAATCCTGGTATATTATTAGGTTACAGATAGATGTAAATGCATATAAAATGTGTACATTTCTTGGACTTTAAACTACCTGTACCTATCTCGAAAACTATTCATAGTTTCAGGTTGGGCCTATGAGAACTTTTTATCAGGAAGTCAAGATATACCACATATCAAAATTTCATTGAGTTTGACAGAAAACCAAAAACCCATAAGAAGTTTGCGGGGTCCTTTGAAGGTTTCCGATTACTAAAATCTGCTAAATCATGTAGCCGAAATATACCACGGCTGAACGTATAAGTGTCTTGTACAATGGTATGATGTGTCCGAGGATGTGTCTTTACGCATCCCGGCGCCTACCCATTTCGATGTCGAAAGTGGACTCCGGAGAACCCATTTCTGCTTCCTTTGATACGACTGTTTACTTTTAAGACATTATGTTCCCAAAAATATATATATATATATGACGTTAAATGGGGCTTTTCAAAAATAATGAAATTAGCAGTGTCTAAATTGAACAAGTAAATGTGTAAATGGATATCTTGAAACTTGAGTTGTGAGCATTCGCTGCTAAACATACTACTGTGATGAGCAGATGCATGCATGGTAGTTTTAAGTGTTCAGTGAATTTCGCCAATAACTATTTTTATTGTAACAAGTAACAAATTAATTTTTCTTTTTTTGAAGGAATATTTTTCAACACTATTACCCTATCATCGTTCCCTTTCACACCGGAGTCGCCATACTACCTATTATACAAAGGTAAGCTAAACGAAGCCAAAAGGGCCCTGGAACAACTGAGACCATATGAAGATACTGATAGGGAACTTCTCGAAATATCAGCTGCCATCGTAAGACAAAAAAACGAAAGAGGAAAACCCCAAGACATCGTTTTAGTGAAAAGCAATCGAAAGGCTCTTCTAATAATGATTTGGCTGAATGGCTCCCAACACATGAGTAGCATATCTGTAATGCTAATGAATTTGCATTCAATTTTGGATGACGCTGGATCTAACTACATATCATCGTCAACTGCTGCAATTTTGTTTTCAGTTCTAATGCTTGTTGCAGCTTTATCAGCCTCGTTTGTTATAGATAATTTTGGCAGAAAAGCCCTTCTGATGACGTCAGGAACTCTGGCAGGAATATGCTTGCTAATAGTCGCTACGTATTTTAATCTGAAAAACCATGGCTATGAAGTTGTTTCAGTGAGCTGGTTAGTACCAATGGCTGTTTTATTTTATGCCGCTGCATTCAAGTTTGGTCTTGGCTTGGTACCAATAGTGCTTACTGCGGAATTATTTCCAGCCAAGATGAAAGCCATAGGAATGACGTTTTCGGACGCCTTTTATGTAGGATTTTCAGTTATATCTTTGCAATTGTATCATAAGCTGAAAAGTAGTTATGGTATTCATGTGCCATTTTATATTTTTTCGTGTTGGTGTTTCGCTACAGTGGCATTTACGAAACTATTTATACCGGAAACCAAAGGCAGAACACTGGAACAAATTCAGTTTATTTTAAAAGATGAAGAGTCAGCGAAACTTCTTTCTATAGGACATAATAATAGTAGTTATAGTGACAGAATTCGTGCTTGAATTGTTGATATTATTACTATGTAATAACTGAGTATCTATAGCTTTAAGTACAAATTTTCTTCGACCTATTCTTTCATCAGTTACTTGTTTTTGAGTGATATTTCTATTTATTAATAGGGCTGTTAGAAGAGAAAATGTAATAGAGTATGTGAAGATTTACACATAGACTTACAATATTGATATGGAATCATTTGATTTAAATTTTAATAAAATATAATTATAGCGATTTCTAAATGATCTGAGTAAAAAGCTTTTACGGCTATTTCAAAAATAAATTGTATACAATCCAAATAAAAAGTCCTTTATTGCTAAAGATTTTTTTACAAATAAATATTTATTGGTAATGTTATATAACTTCTCGAGGAAAAATAGTCTGCTGAATCACTAAAAAATAGGTGGCTACAGCCGACAACAAAGAAATGGCTATTTTTCTATTGATCACAAAAAACCTGGCAGCAGTAAAATCAGTTCGCAATAATCGAATTTCATCTGAAACTTCCTGGAGTTTGTAAATTATATCTTCTTCTTTAAATGCTTTGGAAACTGAGACCAAATTGGCGCTTAGTCTTCTTGTGGCTTTATAAGTGATATCGCAGGAGTAGATACACCAAAATAATGGAATCTAAAATAGAAAAGAACTAATTATGTTAAAACTGAATAATTATAAGCAAAGGTTAAGGTAAAATAAAGTTCAACTTGCGATTCTTCAATTGAAATCTAATATCTTAAATCTTGACCGACAATTTTTATGTCTAGAATTTCAACTTGTAAATTTCCTAAGATTTCATAATTTTTAATGAAAGTTTGAAAATTTCAAACAGTACAAGTAGTGCAGAAGTACAGACGGGTAGTGATAATGATGATGTTGAAGAATAAAAGCTTCCACCAGATTAAGAGAGGTGATAAATGAATATTGATTATCCGGAACGGAAAAGAGTGAGATAATGATTAATGAGTGATGTCTAATCTGAGAAAAAAAAACCTTCAAGTAAATAGTCTGATATTTATGCTTTTTTTTTAATGTTTGCAAGAAAAAGCCATCATATTTATTTTTTCAATAATAAATACATTACATCGTAATCACCTATTTTTGTGGTGCTTTCACACGAAATAACTTATACGAATGACGAGAGTTGTTTTTAAAAAAAATTAATTTACAAAAATTCAAATGAGAACAATAATTAGCGATTAAAATTCAACTACTAACTAACTAACTAATGGTTGTTGCTATATCTATATTAGGTTTCGGCTTGAAATTCGATGCTGCTGACTCAGCTGATGACCATCCTCAGAGTTAAATACACCTTCTGGAGGGTTAGTTGGATTGCCGGCTGGGCTTCTGAACAGGCGGTGGTTTGCTTTCTTCCATTCCATTTTTGGATTATGTGTCTGCCCATGATATAACCAACTATGGTTAATAGAATTACATAAATGAATTAATCCAAATACTGGGTGTTCTTGGAATTATGGAGATGAATTGCGAAGGTTCATTATTATCGATTTTGTTTTTTATTTTGTTTTTACGAGCTCCAAGTTTGATTTCCTGTAAATGAAAACTCAAATTAAGTATAGGAAGGCGCGGAAGAGTGGTTTCGAAGTCTAGAAAGATGATTGGCTCTTGATTGACTGGTCATTCGAAATCAATGAATCTTTTATTTGGCATCCAAATGGTAGGTTTATTAAATAGCTTCCGTGTAGCTTCAAGTGTTCAGCTTGTAGTTGGCACTTAAGCATGCGATCTCTTCTTTGGGAAGAACGATTATCCACTTATTGGACGTATCATGTTGATTGATTATTGTCTCGGATATTGTGACATCGAATTGTTGGCAATTGGATGGGCTCTTGGTGAACTGCAACATTTGTACTTCACAAGGACTATTGGTTTCGACTTCTTTGAGGTTTTCTTGATCGCATAGGTACAGTTCGGGTTGAATTCTCTTGCAAGTGTTTCCGTGGTGGGCGTAGTGCAATTGATTTTTTATTAAATATTTATCTCGCGGAATTACTGCCTCAAACCGACCCTGGTGTGAAATTGCTAAAGAATATAAGTGATTATTCCACTCATGTGTTAGAAATCCCATAAGACAAGTGACGATTTTCAGAATTACAGCGAAAATTCTCTTTTCCATTTGTTTAACTAGAGAGAATTACAGCGATAATTCTCCCATGTTATTTTATACATGGTTGTCATGCTAATTTTTGATACAAAGAAACGGTTCCTGATAGCAACCATTTATTTGTACATCTCAACAAATGTTCAAATCATTTAATACATATTTATTTCCATATTTTTTGCATTCTCATACGTGAAATAATCCTCCAAATACCACTTAAGCTTTAAAATGAACCAGATAATTTTGAAGCTCTCGTGGTATTATCCCCGAAATTATTCGAAAATATTGGAATAGACTATAGGTAGGTACTTTAAGCAAAAATGTTATTTTGTTGTTTAGGATAAAGCACTCCATATCAATTAGATTTTCGAAGAGAAAAATGTTTTCCAAATGTACAGGTGTTGATAATTGATTAGGACCAATATTTTTTTGAAGTTCTTTAAGTTCTTTAAAAAGGTCATTCACTTTTATTATACTTGGGTGGAAGGTTTTCAATTTTGAGAAAGTAATAGAGTTCTCTATATCTTGCAGAATCGAATCGATTATTTCATATAGGTAAATTAATGACTTGATTCAAAACGTCTTTGATGAAATGCATGTTTTCTTGGTACGCTGATTTTTGAACAATCATGCAAATTTGACGAATTTTATTTTCAAGATTTTTTTCGTTTCGACCTATTTGTTGAACTATTAGGTTAAATTGATTATTAAAAAAAAAAATAAGAAAAAATAAAAAAATATAAAAATTAAAAAAAATGAATGAAGAACTTGAGATTGTAGGACTGAAGGTCGAAGTGCGTGCAAATTATGCCCTAGCTCAGAACTAAATAATTCGGAGAGTAGGGGTGGGTTTTAGTTTTGGGCGCCACCGACTCTGAACAGATGAGTCGGACTCTCCAGGATGGTATCTGGATTCAGGTCATCACAATTCAAATAATAATTAAGGAAAAAGAAAAATATTAGCAAAAACCAGGCTGTGTGCATAAAACCAAATAAAAGTCAAGAAATCAAGTGCTACAGTTGTTTATTTACCAAATGGCCGCAGTCCACAATGAACAAAAATTTGAATAAAAAAAAAGAATAATCAAGCAAATTAGCAATATTACCAAAGTGTGAAAACTAAATATTTACTAATTTGCTATTTAATAAAATGAATTGTCATCAATTCATTAATAAAATGACCTTGTAATGAAGCGTCAACTAACAAATACAGAAATGCTATACTTTTGAAATAATTACTATAGTCATGAACAATTAAATTTAAATGCAAAGATGTTTAGTAAAAGATTTTTTTTTAAGTAAATTATTATACTTATTTATTTCCACTAATTTTTTGTTAAACTTTAACATGTTTCGCTACACTGTAGCTTCATCAGAAAGATGTAGACATAAAAGTGAAATTGTTATTGAAACTCAATAACCAAATGAATAATTAAAAAAAAAGGTATAAATAGAAAAGTTGTAATTATAAATTGAAGAGAAATAAAAAAAAAAATGAATAATAAGTTGTTGGAGCGGTTATCTTACACTTATGTAACCAGAACTACCAGTAGGTTGACATAAATTCATCAGGTTATGTCTAGCTAAGTTACCTATTTAATAATTCATTTGCCACACTGGGGCAAGCAATGAATTACTCCCTGAAATACCGAAAGTGATCACTGTGGTGCACAAATAGGGACAGAATGTAAACAAACAATAATAATATACAGGTTAACTAAAACTAGTACAATACCAAAATGTTCCAGGTGATGGTAGTTCATACAATTAACCAAATTAGTCCTGGCTACTGGTTGTGGTTAAGTTGATTGAAGACCTGAGTAACCTTCCAATTACTTAGGCTGGTGTCTGATAGTCTTTTAGTTCAATTTCAGTTACGATGGAACGTCTATTGTGGTAACCGGGAGTAAAAACTCGGTGGTAAAATAAAACCCCTCGTAAGACCCTAAGAGAAAAATTGTTATACACACTGTATTTATAATTGAACCAATAGCGAAGCACTTCATGAATAGATTGAATTAGAAAATGAAACTATAATGTAACTCAATTAGCTTCCAATAGCAAATTCACTTGATAAAAGACTATAGCTCTTGAAAATTATTTTAATAGAAAAATTGAAGATTAATGTATTAATAAATTAAATTAGATGAAATCATAGAAAAGCTTTGAGAGTAATTAAGAAAAATGTGCCTCGAGTTTGCAAAAATTGAAGTTAATAAGGTTATATTTTTACCTGTTGGAAATAGGGTTTGTTTGCCTCGAAAATATCTGGAAATCTGGATCGAGGTCTGGATTGAATATCCTGGAGTGAGTGAGATTATTCTCTACTCTTTAGGGCAGCTTTCAACTAATAATTGAACGGAAAAAGTCAGAATCTACTATGGGAAAAAACGTGTAAGCAACTTACCACATGGAGTTGTAAAAATCCGAATTAATCGGCGAAAATTATAACACTACGAAAACGTAAGGCAAAAAGGCAACTAAATATGTTATAATTTCAAATAAGAATTTAAGGTCGAAATCCCACAAGGGCGAAGACAATCTTCAAAAAGACCCTAATTCTCCAACGTCCAGATGTGAAAAGAAATGTGCTACACATTCGATTAATAGGCTAACCTAAAGGGAGGAATTCAGACTCAGAGATGATTCAGAATAACGACAAACATCAAAAATTAATCGATAGAATTTTTACTTACCAAAAATTGCACACAACAATACAAACCGAGAAAAATGACAACGGCTGACGAATAATGATATTAACAACAAATAATTATCCCATAAAACAATCAAAACTTGAAGAATACAACATAGAGGAAGTGAACTGTTTGCAAAATTAGAGGGCTTAAAGAAGAATCGACGATACTAAAAACAATACTAATCGACCGCCGGTTGACAGAAATTATTGACAAGCAAAAGTCAAAAAACCGAAAGCAAGGATAATGCAGAAAATCTCAAAAAGCTATCGAACCAATGATCGACCCGGGGTTCACTAGAACTTGCACCGAGATCAACAGCTCAATAACTGACCAGAGTAAGTACGAACGGAGTAGTTCTGTACATACACTTGAAAACGGGTCATTATGATTTCGGAACATAATCCCACGAAATATTTTTGACAAAAGAATTATTTTTGTTATGAAAAAAGATGGTCGAATTTAAAATTGGAATCAAAATATTGATTTGTTTTGATTTTGAAATTGACTTAAAGTATGGATTAAAACGAGGAAAAACCATTACAGCAAATAGAATTTGACTATTGAAAATTAGGAAATTTAAAAGATCTACAACCGTTGAGATTATTGATGAAATTTTATAGAGAGAAAATGTTGACAAACTTAAGGGAATTTTGAATAGAAAACTGAAAGTAGGTAAGAATTAGTTATGCAATTTTAGCCTGTTACAAGGCGTTCAACCATACCGTTAGATTGGGTAATGATTTAGGCACAGAAATGTAATTTGATTTTATGTAGGCCTAAAAGTTCAGTTACTACGCTATTCTTGAATTCTGTGCCATTGTCTCAAATTTGTCAAAAATTTAGTTTGTTCTAGTGTGTATGTGTCTATGTGTATGATTTCAAAAGGTTTTGATGCTGTTGGTTCGTATTTGCTCGTTTGGCAAGTTTTACAATTGTTTGTATTATTTACTTTTGCATTTCGGTGATCTAGGAAGCGAGAAAAAAATTAAAACATACTTTTCCACACAATTTTTTTACAGTTAAAATTGTTAAATATCTTCAATATTTCTTCTTGGTAGAACCCTAATACGAAACAAGCCCCATTTGTAAAGTTATGTAATTATTTCTGAAGTTAACACACTATTTGATGCCTGATACTCGGATTCTCAACCCTAAAATAGTGCGTTAATGTCAAAAATAATTACATAACTAGATCACCGAAATGCAGAAGTGAATAATGGCTTATATTCCTTTTTTTATGCCCATTCCAACAAGCATTCACAATACATATCTTTACATTTGAAAAAAAAAGTTAGGGGTGGTTTCTACTTTTAAACGAGGGGTGAATTCCATAATAAAGGGACCCGTTTTTTTTATTTTTCCAGGAAATAAACAAGCTTTTTGATACTGAATTTATTCCATTTAAAAATTCCACCCTGTATATAGGGATACCCACAATCGGATCTTTGCTCCCATTTGTATGTATCATCATATTGTCGTCGTTTGGTGTTTCAACAGGAATCTCCTCGGCGTTTGTTTCATTATCTTGGATATTTTCACTAGCTTGTGCCATGGTGGATATGTAGTCAATATTTTGTTGGAATTTTC